CCGGCTGAGCCCTGACACAGGGTTTCCCTGCATTGGCTGCGTGGTTTGAGCACCCTGGTCAAATGTTTCCCACTGCCATATGAAGGAAGGAGCGAGGAGTTAAATTCCAGACACTCGTTATAAAAAAGAAAAAGGAAAAAAGTCAGCTACGAGTCTGGGAAGAAACCTAATAGTTCTTTCACTCACAGAAGGCTTTAGCAATTTGTGTAAGATATGTATTTTGGATTCCAGAACAAACTGATTTTTAATTTTAGATGCATGGTGTGATATTAGTAGTGCAGGGATTTGACATTTGATATATAGAAATTATTTGCTATTTTCCTCTGGTGTTCTTATAAAAAATATGTACGCCAGAAGGAGCGAGTCCCAAAGTGCAGTAGTCCACGAGACCAGGGTAGAAATAGATGACACACACAAGGAGTTTCAGCCACACGAACACTCCTAGTCAACTAAACACTGTGTACATTAGGAATTGGCTCTCCCCCGGAGAGTAGGAGGAGGGCTCAGACAGGCTGGCCGGTCTGCGAGGCAGCTGGCATTGCTTTCGTTTGCTCAGAGGCGAATGACATGGGCTGCAGCCTGTTTAAAACAAGCGGGTGTCTCCTCATTGCAGCTGCTGCTGAAGGCAGTGCCCCCATCATGTGTAAACTCATTTCGCAGACACCCAGAAACTGGAGCAGAGAGGGCTGTCCCAGAAACACCCCTCTATCCGGCTGGATCCTGCCTTACAAATTCTCATACTGCTTCCAGTTTATCCTCATGTTGCATTCCTGTGATTTCAGATGGGGACAGTAGGGGTAAAACTCGGTGGCTCTGCATGAATAACCTATTAAGTCAGATTCTGGTGAGGCTTCATATTGGGTATCCTAATTTTGGTGTCCTTTCATCCAAACTTTCAACTCAGCCTAAGCCTGCTCACTCCAGGGGAGCAGAAGTCTTCACATCTGGTCTGTGAAGGGGGAGGAGAGTGTTTTGGGGCTCTGCTATGGACCAGACTCAAGCAGGGAGATAACCCGGAATAGTTGGGCTGCAATAGCTTGGGACGCAGCTGAGTGTCTGCCAACATGCTCCCCTCCACGCTCACTTGGAGGGGGCCGAGAGGAGAAAGCTGATGAAAGCTCTCCTATTTCCATGAGGAGAAAAACCACAAGCGTCTCCAGCTCCCACTAACTTCATGCATCCAGCTCCTCTCCTCAAAGGACTCATCCCGAGGAGCACCTTTGTAACCTGGCCAAGGTGTGCCTCCAGCTTTGGTGGAAAGCTGTCATCAGTGACAGTACTTGGTGATAGAAAGGGAGCAAAGGGGAAAGGATGCCTATATTTCTATCTGTGGCTTTCTGGACACACCTGTTGCCGAGCTCTTTGCAGAGGGAATCTGTTCTTCGCTGCGTACCCAGAGCTCAGGCTCAATCCATTTCTTGTGACCATGAGCGGTGGGCTGGGATCAGCTCCCTCCCCAGCCCCCTGCTTTCCCTCTGGGGCCTGCCACTTGATGCGGCTGAGCAGCCCCCACCCCATCAGATGCATTTATCCGTAGCAGAAAGACCTGCCCATAAGCAACACTGCTAATATGAGATGAGGAATCCTGAAAACACTGGATTTATTACAAACTACCAGCATGTGTCCTGAGCATGTCAGCACAGTGGACATGTCTGGGTTTCTGGAGCAAACCTGACAAGCCATCATTTTCCATCTAGATGAGGTTTTTTGCAGGTGAAAAGAGGACATGCCCAGAGAAAGGCAGACATTTAGGAACCCAAATAAAACACCTAGGTCTGCCAAGCCAGGAGTGGCCCAGCGCAGCCCAAGAGTCAATTTGCCATCTTTACATAAGGGCTGAGTGACCTAGAAATTACTGTCTTGGGTCATAGAGTTGCATGAAAGCGACACTCGACCTTAAGCGAGCTGTTCAGATACTTGTCATAACCAATGGTGGTTTATCCAAGCTGTTCTGAGAAGTTCAGGCTGTGCTGGACCATCCACATGAGTATGTCCATCAAGCCAAGATGAATTGGACCCTGGCTGATGATATCTGACAGTTTAACTCCTCTATCTGATTGCTTGCTCTCTCCTAACCTCCTCCAGGATGGAAATAAGCCTTCACAGCAGTTTCAGGTATTTAATGAGACACCACTAATGAGCAACAGATTGTTATCTGCATTGGTCTGACTGCTTATGATTGTCTGTCCATAACCCTCAGGTGTCTTCTAAGAACCATGAGGCCCACACTTTCAGGGGTGGGCAATGGTGCTGACTGGTCCACTTTTAAAAAAGTGCTTGATCATTGATGCAGACTGCTCAGCCCTTAAAATATTGGGCCTGTTTAAAGTAATTTACCATGGGTACCCCCAAAGAACCATTTGAAATATCTCAACCGTCATTCATTCATAAAACAGAGTCACACTTTAGCTGCATTGCATCGTGACTGTGTAGTAGCCAGGGTCACCAAGGTGCTGCATTTCTAATATAGATGTGACTGTGGCATCAATCATTACCGCAACCTTTGGTGGCTGCTTACAGCAGCATTACAGTCCCTAACACATTCATCAGGACTTCTGAGCTGGGTCAAGAGTGTTAATTCACTGAAAGACCAGAAATATCTCTTCCATTTTCTCGGTTTATGCTATGACTATTTCTACTATGAAGTAGAAACACTTTTTCCAAGTTCCCTGAACAAACGCAAGAGCTGGACTGAGGGAGGAAAGTTGCAATGAATCTGTTTCCTTCTCTCTCTGCAATCTGATACTTCTGTGTGAAGTGATTACAAAACCATGCTAATAAAGCAAACCAGCATTTTTATCCCATTATAGTCCCTCACAGCATAAAACCAAAGTGCAGACAATGGAGAGCTTGAGCCCATTGTTTTCAGAGAATAAATCAGTTTTGATTTTGGAAGCGGTTGTGGATGGGTTTTAAATCTTTGCCTTGCTCTTCCAGCTCCAATAACAGAGCTGTTCCCATCACTCTTCGTTTTCTACGCCTCCTGTGTTTGGACGACTCCCTGCTCTCACCTCAGCTACCGGCAGCCTCTCCACATCCCTTGGACGTGGACGCTGTGTCGTGCGGAGCGTGCACACACACACCTGCACACGGCTGGGTGTGGACCCCAGAAACACATGGCTCAGCCGCGCAGCCAGCATCTTGCGGGGAGCTGCTGCTCCACCGGAGGAGGCAGCTGGATGCTCTGAGGTCAGGAGAAGGTGGGAAGGGCTGAGGGTGGTTAATTAGGAAAATCATCTCATATTCAGTGGGATTAGTCAAATGAGCCTTGCTGGCCATGATCGATAAGGAACGGTCCTCAGCCAGAGCCCCTGATCCCACCCGCCTTCCTCCTCACACGACCTCTTCCCCTTCCCACAGCCAGCAGGGCTGTTTGCAGGAGTGAGGAGTGCTTCCATGTGTAAGGCAAAAACATAGAAAATCTTTCACGGGATCCAAGGCAGCTGGAAAGAAATGTGTCTCTGCTGCTTTGGAAACCGGGAGAGAGGACCCAGCCTAATTCATTTTTAAGTGAATAGTGTCATAAGGGCTTTAAAGGCCAAGTCGCGGTGACTGAGGTAATGCAGCTGTAAGTGATGAAGCAAAAGCTCCTTCAGGCTTTAGCTGAAGAAATCTTTCTTTCAAGGCTGCACATTGACCCTTTTATCGAATACTCTGCACAGCCTTCAAAGCCTTTAAAATAGCCCCATCTTTTTTACAGACTCCACTGCTGCTCTGAGGTATTCCCTAGTGCCACCAAATACCTGTCTGTCTGCTTGCATGTGGGGCTGCTAACAACCTCACAAAATAAAACCTTACCAAGATCCTGACCTACAGGAGCAGAGAAGGGGTCTTCAGGAGGCAACTGGCTTTATCTGAAGCAAAACCATTTGGATGAGGGGCAGTACTGAAGTCTGAGGAAGGATTTCAGATTTCTCCAGTAGCTGGTGCACAGATTTAACATATTCACAGATAGGTTGACTCTTTTAAAAGGTAGCAAAATACGCTTTTAACGGTCAAGCTGTTTCCAAACAGACTGAAAGGAGCACTGTGTTCATCAGGGACTAGGATGGCCTCTAACATGCTGCACAAAATATACAAAAGCTGCTTTCTTTCCAATGTGTTTGAATTGGCACTGACCTGGTGCTCTAATACCTACCTGTACATAATCCACGCTTCTCCCCAGTGCTTTGAATGCTGTGTACATTACTTCTCTTTTTCCACCCCATTTCTGCATGATGCAAACACTTTTGTTGGACAGGACCAGCTGAGATACGTGTTGCATGCTCTCTCTGTGAGACTCCTCCGTCTCACCCGGACCTTTGTCGTGGAAGTTATTACTCCAGATATAAGTGGCAGATTTGTCCCTACCCATGATTTCAGTAAAAATGTCCATCATGTAAACGTCGTCTTCTGAGTTCCCATCAATGACCATAACAACTTTAATTCCAGGGTAGGTCAATCTTTTCACAGAAAGTAAACATTTTCGTAAGTAGTCAGGATCCTCTTGATAGGCAGCAATACAAAGGGCAACTGTTTTGTTCAGCTTGATTGGAGTCTCTAGCGACCGCTTCATTTTCCTGTGCTCTAGGAAGGCAAACAGGCTTTGGATGATGAGATGTGATGCCAGGATAGCACCATAGAGTCCAAAGGAGAAGTAGTAGTTGTCTGTTTGGATGAACTGGTAGCCCACAATGTAAGCAGCGGTGATTCCCAGCAGGAGGGACACCCCGAAAAGTGTGGTTCCAAGTATTCTCAGGATACATATAAACCTCTCACAATACATCTGCAAAGAAGCACGGAAACCATTAGCAGAGCCACCACTCACTGATGTAAGACCTCCTAAGGGATGTGCATGGCTACAACATAGAGCTCAGCATCAACAGAAACACCCTGTGCTTCTGGCTGTGCCACAGACTTACTGCATCACCTTACTCGACTTAACTTCTCTTAGCAATACTTGCTCAGTGTAGAGTAAGATTCAAATACACTTAATGTACCAGGGATGTTTTCTGCTATTTGTAATGTCCCTACAGAAGGTGCTGCCTGTGTCAGTGTCTTATGCTGGCAGCCTGGGCTTGCTGAATGAGACGCTCTGTCATATTACCCCGGGGGGTTGGAGAAGGGGCTTCGGGCCACCACTTGCTTCATATGGGCAAGTGGAACAGCTGAATGTCTGGGCAGCCCCTTCTCATCCCCCACCCATGTCATGACTGCATCTCACTCTGAATCGCTTCTGTCGCTTAGTTAAGTTTGCAAAAATATTGGAAAGACATACTTAAACAGATGTCTGAATGTATTTATAATTTTTAAACAGATGTCTGACTATATTTATAATTTATATTTATATAATCAGACATCTGCTTTAAAAGGTCTTCTCAATACCATTGCAAAAATGTATTATTCATACATTTGTGTACATAGATACATGCACGTGTGAGCATATGTGTATAGGGCTAAAGCCTGACTGAGATTAAGTCTGTGGCACAAGTATGCATTAATTTAACAGAGCCAAGACTCCACCCTGGACTCAGAAATTTGTGAGACCATTAGTTGATTCTGACAATTTCTGCATATTTAGGTTACCTGACTGTAAAATCTTCTATCCTAAGCCCTGGGTCATAGAGGAGCTGGCTGGCATGGAGGGTGCTCTGGCATTCTTGAGACAAGAAATGCAGGCAGGCAGACAGGCCAAATATAGTGCTACCTAACTGCTTTTTGTTGACAGTCACATTAACTGTTTTATGTAAAACAGCTTTCTCAGAATTGCAGGAAAGTTAATGACCATGGTTTATGTCAATTGATGTGTTTGGTATTAAGGACATAAACCAGATAATGTCTGTTTAAGGCTAACCCAGCAAGTGCGTTGCAAGTCAATGAACCTGAAACTCATGCTTGAATATTTTGCTGAATTAGGGCCTCTCAGAGTAACGGCCTTAATATTTGTGTTTTCTTACTACTATTCGTATTTTCCCTGCTGCTATCATCTCGCTTGTCTGCTGATCATGTTTGTTTCACCATCTGTTGGCCAAAGCTGAAGCTGGAACAGCACTTCCTGCCATCATACAAGTCTTTAACTCTTTCTTGAAAAAATAGTACCAAGCTGCAGCAGCATAGCTGTCATAAATTATATTTCTGTCTGAAAAGTTACAGGCTTAGAAAAAAAAAAAAAGTCAACACAGAATCACTTACAAAATAAAAATAAACCAGGCGAGCATAAAGTCTGAAGTTACGAAGACTATGCTTTTTTTCCACTGGCTATTTAGGGTCTTAAGTGTCAAGACAGGAGGAAGCCTCTTAAATGTATATTTGGAGACACTGTCAAAGAAATCGGACCCTATCTCCAGGACTTCCTTGAATACTTACGGCTGGGCTCTGACAGGTGCTGTAATCACCCACCAGCACAAGGGACGGTCCCTGCTCTGGCCTGTCTGAAAGTCTTTCACAACGGGGGTCATAGAGAAGCCTAATAAAAGATAGCTTAAGCTTACCACTGCTATAGGTGAATTAAAACTCAGTGCCCAAAATAGACTCGCTTTAGAAAACAGATTAAGTAATGGATCCGCTCTAGATTACCTTGAAGTCAAATAGCCTGTGTGTTTATTAATCCCTCAAGCACGCAGAAGGTCACAAACATCAAGGTAAATCTTTCACTAATGGTGCAGTTGTACTCTGCTTTCCTATTTGGAGTCCACTACTTCTCTTCTCTTGCCAGAAATAGAAAATTACTATTAGTGAGTAGGGGCTTAAGTCTGCTTACATTAAGAATTATATGGCTGAAATCAACGGACCACTTGTATGGGTAGAGCTCTCAGGATTTAGATTAAGATCTGGAGCATTTACATTTGACTGACTATATACACTACTAGGCTTCTTTGATATTAATTTGCTATTGCTTTTCTCTCCTATAAAGTGTTTCCACACAAAAGGAAAAAAAAACTGAAATGAATTCTCTGATCTTGTCATTACAGCACAGCTTCCCTCCCTCACAAAAAACCCAGTCTCTTAAGATCAAGAAATGGATTTCTGGTCTTAATAAAACAGCATTTTTTTTCTATCCTTTCACTGTCAACCTTGGGAAAATAAACTGTGTTTTGATCTAAATTCCTGGCTTTCATCAAAGAAACTTTCCCCTTTGTATGTGCAATTGAGGTTTTTATGTATAGTCTTTTAACTGACTGAATCTCAGGGAAAGTCTGGAAAAAGTTGCTCAATAATCTCAAGCTTTAGCACGTGAGCTATTGATAACTTGCCCAGCAGAACGGATCTTTATCAACTTGAACATGCCCAAACAATGGCAAAGAAGCCAAAAACTCTCCACCCTTCTCCAATAACTGAGCCAAGAAGCTAAAAGAAAATGATGCTTGTAGAAGTCTGGGACCAAAAATGATCTGCTGAGTCAAATAAGAGCACCAAGCGTAGGGAATAGCTGTATCACAGCAGATTTTAAGGTCAGACAGTGCTTTTATGAATATCTAGCCTGGCCTAACACAGTGAAATGTAAAAGGACATCCTCAGTAAGACATCAGTTGAAATCCATTCCTGAAGTTTCCCGACCTTGTCACCCAAAGCTAGAATCAAGCATTATCAGAGAACCAGCATACAGTGCTGTGTTTTAACAGTGCAAGCCTAGAATAATGCCATGCTGAGACGAGATGTGTGAAATGCTTGGTGAAAGACAAGCACCCACGTTAACTTTCAAAGCCACAATTATTCTTCAGTCATTTTGTTGATAATCACTATTTCTAAGTGCTAGCAATAGTCTTTCACAAAAATGTAACTGCTTATATTCAAAGCTGCCATCACTACAGACCTACTCAACAGATGACTAATTAGTGGGGGGAACTGTGCACACCTCATGTCATCAGTGCAATTTAGTGTTTTCTTTATGCCTCAGACGAACAGATCCTTAATTCCTTGAGGGATTTAACCTGGTGAGTTTGTCCTGGGAAATAGGCACTGCAGCACTTAAAAAAAGAAAAAAAGCCCCACCTAGGTAAGGGATGAGGTGCTCAACACACGGAAGACCTGCAGCCAGTCCATATTCCTGGATAAACAAAGATAATTGCAGGTCACTTCTGCATACACATGGACCTGCTGCTACATGGGAACAGGTGTCGTAGTGAGGAGAGGGACACGGCTCCTCGCCTGGTGAGAAGGTGAGTTGGTGGGTTACCTCACTGTCTCTCGAGTCAAACCTAGATCTTGCACTTTCTGGGCAGGTTTTTAACCAGTTCTATAAAGCAGGAAGAGAAAGATAGTACCTGCAATGGTCCTCTTTATTATTGTTTTTCTAAAAGAGTGAAAGCTATTTAGCACTGAAAGAAGGTGGAGGGTCCACTGCTTTTCATAAGCCCTGAAGGACATTTCCAGGGAGCAATAAGATTGCACTGGCTGTGTCAGACTCTTTTTTGGAGGCACCTATGTCCCCCATGTACTGCACAGGAAGCCCGAGACGGTACTGCTAATGCTACTCTGCAGATTGGGCACCTAAATGTGTTACAGGCACCTTTACCTAACCCCGCAGGGCTGAACCCAGTACGAGTTTTACACAGCCTCCAGCAAACGGGCTTAAGGTTGGTACGCACACGATGAGTGTATGTAGAGAGGCTTCAAAGTCTACTGCTGAGCAATTTTTTATCATGACCTTGTAGCTGCTTATTTCCCTGGATGGAGCCGGTCAGTGCTAACCAGCCCACCTAGTAGAAGCAAAACACAAAAGCCATATGCTAAATCCTAATGCTATGTAGGCTGTCACTGATTCCGTGACACATTTTGATTCACCAAGCAGTCCAAAGTATGTAGGTGCCATTAGTGTCTGTACAGGAGGAGGCAATGTGCGCCTCTTTTTGGAGGCTCCTATGGAAAAGAAATGAACCCTTGCATGTACTTGACATCAGAGTCCACCTAGTGAACTGTTTGGCATTGTGTCTCTTTTGGCATCCTGATAAAGCCACACAAAGAGTATTTTTTTTGGTTACACCTGTGATGAAGGAGAACTTACTCTACATTACTATTAACAACTGGCATAACTAAAAGTTGTAGTCTTCTAACATTATTTTAATAAAAAAATTCAGGTTAAGAAAGAGTTGACCGATTCCTGCATTGTACATATAATGACTGGGATATTAACTCTAACACTAGAGATCACACTCCTTTCTCAGACTGAATAGGACCTTAGATCTCAAATTAGAAGACCATAGCAAAATATGCTTGAGTTCTCTCTATTCTGAAAAATATTTAGAGTAGAATTTAATTGTAGTCATGGCACATAGATCTAACTTTAATAAGACCTAGACGCTTGACTAAAATTCAGCATGTTCTTATGTCCTGATTTGGACTGGGTTTTTACTCTGTGAAGAACGCTGCTGACTTCCATGGTAAAGCACCACTTTTCCCCCTGCTCCAAAATAATATAACCCAGTCCATCCATATGGTTATTAATCAGCTTTCATGCACCCTTGAGAGTTAACAGGACCTGGAGATAGTTCATCTCTTCGCAAAAAGTCAGGACGTAAAGGGGAAAAAAAAAGCTTAATTTGTTACCAATACATCAAGAGAGTAATAAACAGAATAGGGGCAAATACATATCTGGAAAACCTATGTGTGTTGGTGTCTGAACACATGAATATTATCATCTGCAGTGTGTTCACTTGCTTCGTACCAGCCATTGCGTAGCTGCTATGAGGACTAAGGAAGCAATCTGGTGGTCCCCTGCATCGACAGGATGTGAAACCAGTGACTGACGGGAGGTCAAACTGAAGTTAGGTTTGTTTGCAACACATGGG